TTAAAACCATATAAGTAAAAAAATATCATTCAATAATAAAACAAATATATATATACAGATTAAACTATATACCATATAAGATTACATAAATATTTTAATTTCAAAATTTTCAATAAATTTTCAAGAACATTTATAAATTATAAACTTATTAAATTTTTCACATTGAAATTTTTTGTTATCAATGATTTAAATATCTTAGTTCTTTTTAAATTTTATATTTTTAAAGATATTAACAATCGATAATATGGTTATTTTTGGTATATACCATAAAAACCGAATGGATGTGATTTTATAAAAACCATAGGATTTGGATATGGTTTGATTTATAATCGATTAAACTGAAACATGTAAATAAGTATATATTTATAACGACGCATGAATATCTATTTGTTACATGAGTTGAACTATAATTATAATTTGTAAATAGCTTACAATTTATTACAACTAAGACTTCTTATTTTGATCTTTTGGCTTTTTAACTGTAGCTAAATTGAAGTAAAGATTATAAATTTGATGGACAACAATTAGTTGAAATTATTTACAACTTTTTTTATCTTTAAACAAACATAGTTGTGTTCAATCGAAGACATGTTGGTTTGATGAACACTAAATATAGAAGAATATAAAAACTTTTCTTTCATGCTTCTGTTTTGTTTTTTATTTTTATTTTCAAAATTTAGTGTTTTGATATTAATTTTATATTTGATCATTTTATTAGATGATAGAAGCCTTTTTTAGTTTTTAATTATTTTATTTAAATATATAATATTTTTTAAGAAATGACTCTGTGACAGTATAACTCTAAATATGATCATATTATATATTTGTATAATATATAATATGATCTCAAACTAAATAATTATGTTTTTTGGTATAAAATTGAATAAACTGAAAACCGATGGTATATAAACCAAATCAAACTGAAGTACATATAGATTTAGAATAGTAGTTATATTTTAGTGATCGAAATACCAAAAAATCGAGCCGAATCGAAACCCGATATCCGGATTGAACACCTCTAATCCGAATGAAACCGAACTATTGTTTCATTTTTAAAAACATAATAAAAATAAAAGATTCGTTCCGCGCAAGGCGCGGGTCTTATCCTAGTTTGTATTAAAACCAAATAATTAACATTAGACAAATTTAAAATTGATATTATCCAATCACGTTAAAAGGAGCTTGTACCTGCAAAAAATAAAGAGAAGGGAAAGCAGTTACACTCAAGGGATTGATATTCATAGAGAGTTGATGTAATTGGGAACTTGGTTGGTTAAGGAATTTTTTTTTATCTTAAACGTAAGTCTACTGATTTTGTAATTATGTTAAACCAATATATTTATCTGATCTTCCAAATAAAGTTCAAGGAAAAAGAAATCTTACAATTAAAATAAACTTATATATTTTGTAATTATTTAAACTTGCAAATACTATTTTGTAAAAAATAATACTACAATTAAAATAAACTTATAAGAATTGGTTTTCTTACAATTCTCTTAGGTTTAATTTTTTAACAGAAAATAATATTAAATCTTAAGAAAAAAATAATATTGTAAATATATTAGTTTGTAAGGAAATTTGTTCTTAAAATATTTTCTTAACGAACGTTTAACCAAAAAAAAAGAAATACTATTATTAAATAATTATTTATATGATAATATTTTGTTTGTTTTCTCTCTTTTACAGTTTTTTTGTTTAAGACTTTTTAAAAATAAGGAAAATTAAATTTTTAATTGGTTTAACTTTTTTTTAAATGAAATGTTTTTCGTACATATGTCACAATCTTAAATATATAATTGGCATGTGTTGCGATCATGTTAATTAGCAATTTTGAAAACTAGGCTTTATAAAATAAAATATAATTAAAATAAATAATTAATAAAACATACTAACCAATCAAATTATATTTTTTTTTGAAACTTCACATATGAGCAACACATAGGCAGAAATCACATAAGTGACTTCTCAATTAATATATAATATGATCATTGTCTCTTATCGACCTTTTAACTAGTTAATATAAATTATTATGTGTGATACTGTCATTGGGATATTTGGAAACTAACATTAACTAGTTTGAGTATTTTACTTTTTGAAAATATTTAAAATAAATAAAAATTAAAAGACAATCAACCAATCAAATTATAACAATTTTTTAAAAAAACTTTTATACAAGTGAAACTTAATCAAAAACCAGATAAATGACTTCTCAATTAATATATAACTAGAAGTTGATCAACGCTTGTGTGCGGGTATTTATTTAACTTGTGTTCAACGTAAACCATAAACTATTGGTTTTATAAAAAAGAATCTTATATATTTTTTTTTATGTTTTGTAATTTACATAAAAAGTAGAATATATTATATTATAATATAGATGTTAGGTAGTAATTTTTTATTTGTATATAATATTATATTATATTGGAAATATATAACTTGATGTAATGTGATGTAAATGCACTATTCATATATTAACCTATTATTTTATTTTGTTAATTTATTTTAAAATGAAACAACATCCTAAATTTTTTTAATGGTCAATATATGAATATCAATTTGGTTAGATAACCTTTGGAACTGTAATTATTTAATTTAAATTTATTTTAAATATAGTGGCAAAATCTATAAATAAAAAGAAATACAAAAAGTAGTATTTAATTTATTATAAATGAAAATACTAATTTGTAAATAAAAAGAAGCATTTTTATACCGGCATCTATATTTCTAAACAATCCCTATTTATATTTATCTATATTTCGAAACAATATCAAAATGTACTTCAGTTTTAATAATATAGATAGTATGACAAGAAAACGATTTAAAACAACGAAAAAGGAAAAAAAGGTGAGCATTAAAACAAAGAAAACGGACAAATAGAAGTTATGAAAAGACAATGAACATTCAGAGAAGAAGACAGACAAATCCACACCCAACCTTCAAGCCATCATCTCAGTTTTATAAATATTAATATTTTTTAACAAGACAACAAAAACAAAAGAGATGGTTTTGGGGTTATGTTTTGTCTTTGTTAAGGTGTGTTTGGACGTTTCCTTCTCAGAATCATATTTTCCAAAACAGCATTTTACCTAAAACAAAAGCTTTTTAGTTTTTATATTTGAAAAACAGTCATGATTCCAAATCCACCTCACGTCGAGACAAAAACCATAAAAGTGGAGGCTCCAAACTCAAATTATATAATGATATAATTCCAAAAGATATAATGACAAATGGGTTCACTGAACTTGTTGCACCATCTAACTTTCCTTCTTTTCTAGTTTTTTTTTTCTGATTTTTTCTTTTTTGGTCAACTTGTTTTTTCTGTTAAATTCCTTCTTTTCTAGTGTCTCTAAATTCAAGAATCATTAAAAAAAAAATCAAGAATCATTTTTGTTTAACAACAATCAAGAATCACTCTACAATAATAAATCGAGAATCATAATCTAACATATATATATAGAAATTAACTTCTAAAATTTTAAGAAAATTACAGGTGAGACTTCTCTTTGTAAATGGTTGACTCTGGTGAACAGAAAGGTTGATAAGTAGTGTGAATCCTATCTATTTTATTAAAGCAAAAATATTGTATTGGACCTAACATTTATTTTTAAGTTTTTAAATTAATACTTTATAGTTATATATACATTAAATCATTAATATTTAATTCTGTAAACTATTATTCATGTTTCCAAACAATATACTTATTTATTTATACTACTATCAATTTTTTCAAACAACATTATAATTAATCATGTGTCCAAACAATAAACAATATTAACTCTCAAATTTTTAATAATTTCTAACAACTTTTTTCCTAGTTATTTAGATAAATTAAATAATTTTAAAAATTCAAATAGTTTATAAAATAACAAAAATAAATAGAACTAAAATTTACAAATTTAAATATTACATATGGGTTTCCATCTATTCAATTGGTTGGTCTCGGTGTTTAGTGATGTTTTAAATATGGATATTTTTAAAAAATCAAAATTTAAATTATCATATCATTAGATCAACCAGTTAAACTGCAAGTTCGAGTAGAATTTAAAAACACTGATTTAAATGCAAAAATTTTTAAATACACATATTTTTTTAATTAACAAAATATTTATTACTTATTAGTAAAGTTTTTCATCATAAAATATTCTCGCGTTTGCAAAGCGTGGATCAAATCAATTTTATTTTAAATAAAGTTAAATTGTATATTATTTTTTAAAAATTTGAATATATTATTAACATCATAAGTAATTAAACTCTCAACTAATTATTTTAATGTATACAATTAAGTTTGAATTTGATTTTGCACTTTTAACAAAAATACAAAATTAGTATTTTTATTGCATCGTTACATCTATATAATATACTATTTGACACTATTAAATAAAAAACAGTTTTTATATTATTCTTTAAACTTAAAATGGAACTGGACAAATTCAAAACTATATAAAACTAAATTATACACGAGGGTCATGACCTTGTTCGTGTAGTACAACTAGTACCATGTGAACATAACAACAACTGTAGTTTAACGATGAGAAAGAAACTTTGACAACTCTTCAGTAAAGTCTTTAAAAAGAAAGAGAAAGAAAAGAACAGAAAGTGTTACAAAAAAAATAAAATAACAGAAAAGACAAAGAAAAGAAGACAAAACCGACTATCACGCATTGTCTGGTACGTAGAACCAAAAGGAACAATGCCTCTGTTTTAGTGTTCTCTTTTTAGTTTCAATCCACACAGATACACACGCTATACTCGCAAGATAACCCACCAGAGACTTCTTTGTTCTTACACATAGATTAGATAGATAAAAACCCAAACCAACAAAAGAAAAGCTTCTTCCATTGATGCAAAAATGAAGTAAGTTTATTGTTCAGACAGTTTCAGTCAGATGCTGTCTTACTTCTTCTGTCTTCAAATCATCTACTATCTATAGGTTTTAAAAATCTGTTTCTTAACCCATTTCTTGCCTCTTTTGTTAAAACAGTTGAGCTTTGTAGCCTTCAATGGTGGCTATGTTTCAAGAAGACAATGGAACATCCTCTATAGCTTCTTCATCACCACTTCAAGTCTTCTCAACTATGTCTTTCACAAGACCAACTCTCCTCTCTTCTCCCTCTTCACCGTTCAAAGACCTCAAACCAGAGGAGCGTGGTCTCTACTTGATCCACCTCTTGCTAACCTGCGCCAACCACGTGGCCTCAGGTAGCCTCCAAAACGCAAATGCCGCTCTCGAGCAGCTCTCTCTCCTCTCCTCCCCTGACGGCGACACGATGCAGCGAGTCGCAGCTTACTTCACCGAAGCCCTCGCTAACAGGATCATCAAGTCTTGGCCTGGTCTCTACAGGGCGCTCAACGCAACTCAGACAAGGAACAGTAATGTCTCCGAGGAGGTTCATGTCAGGAGATTGTTCTTTGATATGTTCCCTATACTCAAAGTATCTTACCTGCTCACTAACCGAGCTATAATCGAGGCTATGGAAGGTGAGAAGATGGTTCATGTGATTGATCTCGATGCTTCCGAGCCTGCTCAATGGCTTGCTTTGATTCAAGCTTTTAACTCTAGGCCTGAAGGTCCACCGCATTTGAGAATCACTGGTGTTCATCGCCACAAGGAGGTCCTTGATCAAATGGCTCATAGGCTCACAGAGGAAGCAGAGAAACTAGACATACCGTTTCAGTTTAATCCAGTTGTGAGTAGTTTAGAGTCTTTAAATCTAGACCAGTTGCGTGTTAAGACAGGAGAGGCCTTAGCCGTCAGCTCGGTTCTTCAACTGCATAACTTCTTGGCCTCTGATGATGATTTCTTGAGAAAGAATGGATACAGCCTGAGCGGTGACTCGGCTTCATCTCTGCCTCTACCCAAGTCAAGAAGATTCCTCAATGCAATTTGGAGTTTGTCTCCAAAGATCATGGTGGTCACTGAGCAAGACTCAGACCACAACGGGTCCACACTAATGGAGAGACTGTTGGAATCACTCTACACCTACGCAGCATTGTTTGATTGCTTGGAAGCAAAAGTTCCAAGAACTTGTCAAGATAGGATCAAAGTGGAGAAGATGTTTTTCGGAGAGGAGATCAAGAACATAATAGCATGCGAGGGATATGAGAGAAGGGAAAGACACGAGAAGCTAGAGAAATGGAGCCAGAGGATTAATTTGGCTGGTTTTGGGAATGTTCCTTTCAGCTGTTATGCCATGTTGCAGGCTAGGAGGTTGCTTCAAGGCTATGGTTCTGATGGGTATATGATCAAAGAAGAGAGTGGGTGTGCAGTGATTTGCTGGCAAGATAGAGCTCTATACTCAGTATCAGCTTGGAGATGCAGGAAGTGAAAGAATATTTTACTGATATAATAACTTGTGTGTTCTCAGTGGAGTCCCTTTCTTTTCTTATACATAGGGACACAATCTTAATTGTTGTCATGATTTGACTTTCTGTCTGTCTTTCCTATTTTTTTGCAAATGCTTGTAACTGCCTTTGCATATATGCCTTTTGATATTCAGTAGTGTGTTGATGGTTCAGTTTGGTTTGATCCATTTTACACCAATCCAAATTCAAATGAAGCTGAAGATAACCACATTTATGGTCGGATTCAGATCTTAAAACTCAACTCTTTCTTTTAGCATATGAGTCTGTTGTCTATGTATGGAAACTAACTTGGTGTGTATTTAGATTACAATGAGGACACATGCACTCTCCAAAGGAAGTCTGATGTATAATACTATGAGAAAAGAAACCGAGTTATTTACATATTTGCTAAATCCCAATCTGTGAACCTGAAGAACATAAAATGCAGCTCAAAGGTTTCTTCATGATCAAAACTCTGGAAATGAAAACTTGGTAAACTGGAGATTTAGAAATGCTAAATCAGAGTTGTCTACATCATGAATAGAAATTTGAGATCATCTACGGTTAGTCTAGTTGCAGAGCCTCCACTATGGTCTTCACCAAAGGCAGACGCAACCATTGTCCTTTTCTGTTCCTGAAATAATCGCAGAGCAAGTTGTCTACATGTATCATCTAGAAGAAAAGATATAGGAGCTTAAACCATACCTGGAGAGTCAAAATTCTATCCTCGATAGTATTTGTTATAGTAAGACGAGTAACAGTAACTGGTCGAGTTTGTCCAATACGATGTGCTCGATCAATAGCTTGATCTTCAGTAGTTGGATTCCACCAAAGATCAAGAAGAATGACATGACATGCAGCCACCATGTTCAGCCCAAGGTTTCCAGCTTTCAAAGACATTATCATCACTCTTACCTGTTTAAAGAAACCTTGCACTGTTTACAGAGTTTCATGATAAAAAGAAGGGAAAGAAGTGCACATTGACTTACATCTGGATCGTTGCTGAATTCTTTCACAGCTCTATCTCTAGCAGCTAGAGTCATTGTACCATCTAATCTTCTAAACTCTATAGTCTTTTCAATAAGAGAGGGCTCGAGCAAGTCAAGCATACTAGTCCACTGAGAAAAGATAATCGTTTTAACTGGCTTTTGGTTGTAAGGAGTTGAAGGCACGCTGGTTTGCTCTATAATGGTAACATCATCATCGTCGTCATGGGGCTGCGAGGAAGAAGGCATTCCACCTTGCTGCGTTGAGTTTGGACTGCCTTGGTTAGAAAGCGACTGCAGGATATCTAAGACAGTTCTGATTTTTGATGAACTGAACTCGCCATTCTGAAAACCTGCTTTATTAAGACCTCTGGCATGTGAGGAACTACAACCCGTATCACCGATACAACTTCGAAGAGTAGACTCGGAGAAAACAACATCATGCGTAAGCTGTTCTCTGCATACAGGGCACGAGTTCTCGTCCCCTGTGATATATTCTGATACACACTGATAACAGAATATATGGCCACACAAAGTAATAACTGGATTTTCCGGTGGATCCTGCAAAACCAACAGAAGACAAAATATATAGGTGACGTGAAGAGACACTATTTCTAAGACCTACATCATGATGCGCTTACGTGGCAGACGCAGCAGATGGGAGACGATTCTACACGATTGAGCAAGCTAACTCGAGCCTCCCTAGAAAGTCTTTTTGCAGCTTCTTCTGATTTTTTTCCTACAGAATCTGAGTTCTTTCCTTTAACAAGTTGGGGATGATCACAGGCTTGGCGTAAGCGTAAAAGCATGAGAAGAATGTTTGCATAGTTTTGATTCAAAGTTCCTGCATCAGCATATGCCTACAGAGAAAAAAAATATCATTTTACAACCTTGGCAGGAATCATTGCAAAAGATTTTCTTCAATGAAAACTCTCCACACATAGTTACTACAAAAAAGTATGCAGACAACAGCTATAAACAAAGGATGAACTGATAGTTTGGAGGACCGCAGAAAGAGCACCTTGAACTGAGAACGTGAAACGGATTCAAGGTTCGTGTAGAAAGACCGCTCCTCTACTGAAAAGTTTACCTTGGTCAAATTAATTGTCTTTGGTGGTAGATTAAGTATAGGCTGGCCATCAAGCAATGTTCCTAGATCCGTAAATCAGAAAATAATTAATAGAAACCCTCAACAGCGGCACAGCTATGTAAGGGAATAGTAGGAGTAACATGCAAATTATCATATTAACATTAATGAGAGAGTCCAAGTACCTTTGGTACGGCGCAGCATAATAGCCTTTAAAATAGCTTGAAGCTTCTTGTAACCATTTTGGGAATTTCTGGTGATTGGAACCTTGATTGTGTTGCAGAATGACTTGTACACGGCATACGGATCATACCTTAGAAACCTGAAATAGCTATACAAATCATCTATCGTATTTTGAATCGGTGTCCCAGACAAACACCATCTCCTTTTGGCTCGAAGACCACAACAGGCTCTTGCAACCTGTGTTCTATGGTTCTTTATTGTCTGAGCTTCGTCTAGTACAACTCGGAACCACCCAACTTTTGCTAGAGCGCCACAGTCAGGGTCAGAGTCGTCAGCGTTTTTCTTGCTTCGTTTCTTACTCTTCTTAGGAGCACCCAACACATCTTTGCGTTTCTTACTCATGGAGAAGCCAGAGGCGAGACCATGTCTCTCGGCATATTTTTCATCATTCTCATCGTCATCCTTCAGGGATTTCTGTGGAACTTCATTTGAGACGATAGCATAAGTTGTCATCACCACATCATATTTTGCTAGTTCAGTTGGATCTTTGGTTCTGTTACCACCGTGGTAGATTAGAACAGAAAGTTTAGCTTCTTGAGTAACCTTCTCATCAAGTTCTCTTGCCCACTGCCGCACAACACTAGCTGGACAAACAATTAAAGTGCCAGCAGCTGGTCTTTTCCCATTAAATTTCCTTGTTGAAGTACTGGCTTCTTCATCCTTGGCTTTCTTCATGCCAAAACTGCCATCAACCATTATAGCCTTCGACTCTGGTTTCACAAATACATTCTCTGATTCATCATCAGCATCCAGATCCAATGCTTCAGCATCCACTTGTTTGCTCAAATTCTCAGACTTTAATTTTGCCTCGTACCTTTGTTTTAGGATAAGAGCAATTGTTGAGATTGTTTTACCAAGGCCCTGGACAGTAAACCAAATTGAATGAGAGGGAAACATAGTGAAACATATTAGTATAGCGGTAAGGGATTACGACTAAAAGTAACCTGATCATCAGCCAATATCCCTCCCAGACAGGGGGCGCTTCTAGTTTCCTTCTGAAACATCCATGCCAACGCAATTTTCTGAGAAACAACAGTGTTTAGTATGCAAGCCCATATTCCAACAGATACTGAAAGATGAATTAGAAACATGAGTACCTGATGCTTCATAAGAGAAACTGAAAGAAGGCCGTCAGGTAAATCGATCTCCGACTTGGGTTGATTCAGATTCTGCAGGAAATACTAATTTTTTAATCACAATTTCAAGCATTTACTACTCATACAGGGCAATTATACGACAACACCAAACTCTTAGAAATGGATATATTATAATCTTGAAGAACAACATGAATCAAGAGAGGAATGCTACAAAAGTAACAATGTTACTGATTCTCAGAAAGGAAGAAAACAATAATTATACACATCACGTTACTCTGTTTCAAGCACCACTGGGGGAATATTAAGACATATTAATCTCTCAGCCATATATAACTAACCAGTAAGGAACAAGCCTACTTCATTCATTCATTTCACTGGCATATTAGTTTAGAATAAATCCCAATGACCAAAAAGCTGGTGAAAGAGAGAAGGGCAAAAGGCGAACTAGTATGGGAACTACACAAGCCAAAAGATGGGAACCTGAAGTGCAGCCTGATAGATGAGCCTCTCGTCAGTCTCCGAACTCCTATCTTCACCTACGCCATTCCTATGCAACGGATCACTCCCACCATTAAAATGTGAAGTAGAAGCACCTGCTCCAGACGGAGGAAACAACCTCTCGCCATTAATGACACGCCCCATGCCTACCCCATCATGTACTCCACCAAAACCATTCCCGTTGTAGCCTGACGCTGAAGCAGATGGAGTAGCACCATAAACCCCACGAAAGTGACTCCCGTTCCCATTACTCGTACCGACAATATCAGGTCTCAAAGGCATAGGAGGCCGAATAAAAGACGGAGGAAGCACCCTTTTAACCCCTTGTTGAGAGCCCATGTGCCCATTCATCAGTGGCTTAGCTTCAAACCCATTACGTGAAGGAAGAAGTGCCACTCTTGTGAGGCCATTGGCATTAACAAGGTGAGGTCTGAGCGTAGAGAGTTCCCTTCTATGAGAGCCTGCAAAAGGTCAGAAACACAAAAACTTAACTTGACAAGTCACTCAAATCAACAAATAACAAATTGGACAACTGAGATTAAATGTTAACCTTGAGGAGGGAGAAGAGGAAGACTGGTTTCTTGTATCTCGACGTCACTGTCTGAACTGATTTCAATAGCGGAATCCATCGTAAAGATATATATACTTTCTAAATCAGAATAAACGATCGTAAAGATATATCATAACTAGGTTTTGATGATTTCGATCACAATTGAGGATTTTAATTCAGAGAGGAGAAGCAAAACCCGAAATTGGGATTATACGAAAGAAACCCTAAGAAGACGACGAAGGGGAGAAAAGCAGGTTTTGTGGAATTCGTCTCTCTGGAAGCGAAACAGAGGAAAGGAATAGTGTGAAAGCCAATTGTTTGCTTCCTTTGGTTCATATTATAGGGTTTTCGAGTTGACCTTTTTAGTAAATCACACGCAACGGCGCCGTTTCGAACGACAGAAACTGTGATTAATTAGTTAGATTAGTTAGATACGCTCACACTTGTATGATTCAATTTAAATTAATATATTTACAACTCAATAAAAAATATATACAAATAAATATATTGAAGTTTTTTAAAAAATAACTAAGAAAATAACATCAGTCAACAGATGTCACAAAGATCGCAGCCCATATTAATTGAAAACTTCACGAGGTTGCTAAACGAAAACGATCATACATCCAAAATTTAAATTTCATATTTCGCTGGAGTTTTTGTTTTTGGTGTTGATTTGAAATAAGATTAGACTATGCAAATAAATGCGACATATTGAATACACAAGAAATTGCACACATCAGTCCAAAGAATTATGAAGCAAAGGCGCTTCTCTTATTGCAGATAGCGTTATCAAAGAGGATAAAATTCAAATCTTATATAGCAAGGAGCTATTCATTTTGGTTAAGGCATATTTTTGTTTAAGGTCTTCCTCTGTCGTGTTCTGTTAGATTGTCATTGATCCTCTTTTTGTCTTACATTTGTCTCATTTTGTTTGTTGACTCATCTTATATTATTTTCATCATCAGTGTAAGTGCTAAAAAAAGAATACAACAAGACAAAAAAATCACAACTTAAGCCTTTATTAATTTAAGTCAATAAATGCAAATACAATAAGAAATTCAAAGATTTTTTATTCTGCCCCATCAAGTTAGTGATAATTAAGATGGGCAAAACATCTCTAAATTTTGATTCGATTCGAACCGAAGAATCCGGATATTCGTAACTCTACGAAGCAAAGCAAATAATAAAATGTGATATCCGTAAGAAACAAAGCAAATAACAAATACTAAGATTTTTAGGAACGAATATCTGATCCAGTCCGTTATATACATATATATACATATATTTAAAGAAGTATATATAGAATTTATATAACTATTATATTTTATTTATGTTTTACAAGATTTTTATTTATTAAATTTATTATACTAGTTATTAGAATTTTTAAAATTAATTAAATTTTATTTTTGTAATAAAATATTATTATTTTGTATTATTTTGAATTTTCTTTATTTTTAAAAAAAATATTTTATTTTTACGGATCGAATCGGAGATCGGTAAAATTTTTAAATTTTCCGGATATCCAGGATAGCAAATATCTGAATGGCTACAGAGCGAATCGAATCAAATAATTAATTATTCGAATGAAATAGATCGGATCATGAATATCTCCAAATATCTGAATATTTGTTTTGTGCCTACCCCTAGTGATAATAGTTTGAGTGATTTACACTATAGGGCAGTTTTTGAGTTTTTATTACACTATAGGGCAGTTTATGCTCTTAGGGTAGTTTTTCACAACTATAAGTCAACAAGAAGCTAACTACGTTTATTTTTGTAAGTAAATGGGTCCTACAACTTTTAATTTTATTTTCTTTCTCTCTTTGTCCGATAAAAACAATTTAATGGCAGAAAAAATTCAAAAACTAAATCTGGAAAACAATGATTTTAATGGCTAAAAAAGATGAAATCAATCCACGATTTCTTCATATCCACCATGATTTATTACCATCTGATCACCTTCTTAGACATGCAAGCAAAGTCATGACCCATTCGAGTTTCTCCAATGCAATTTTACTTCGTAACGAAAGCTTTATGAGCAACAATGGCTACTTTTTGTTTTATTTCACATATGGTCCTTCGATTTTTGAGTATATTCATTTTTGCCTCAAAATTTTCTGATTTGCAAATATATCTATTTCAAATTGAATCTTCACTTTTCAATTGTATAAATCAGACCTTCCATGATTACAAAAACAGATCCTTGAATTTTTGGAAGTTTTCTATTTAGCTTTTAACTTTTAAAATTGCATAAATAACCTTTTAGTTTAGTGTTAAACTTTCAATTATTCACTCCAAATATATCATTATTATAACAAAGTAAACATGTACACTATCATATTTCAGAATCACTTATAATGCTTTGTGTAATGATCTGAAAATCATATTCTACTACCATTTCATCTTTGAATGGATTTAACCTAATTTTGTGATGTTGTACATATGTACACTATTATATTTATTGTACACATGTACGTCGTCAAATTTTAATGTACACATGTACACTAACGAATGTACACAACTTTACAACATGTTGGACATCTAACATGTATCTCAATAAAATTAATTGAACTAAAACCATGTAAAATGCTAAGAATCAAGAAATTACATGTGAAATGAGTTTTGTGTTATTTAACATACGTTCGAAGACAAATCCAAATTCACAAATGCACCAATATACCTATATGTGTGCAACTTCTTTATATATATATTGGTTCACTTTCGACGTACACGTGTACACGTGTCAAAGTGTACACGAAATAACATGTCCATTTATCTTAAACTTCTAATTTTTCAAGTTTCTACAAGTGTACACGTCACAAAGTGTACACACAAGTCGTTTGTTATTCTTGCTCAAAAACAAAATTGTTCTTACATGTGGGTATTTATGCATCGGTATACACGTGGACAATATTATATAAGTGAATTTATTGTACATGATAGTAAAACTTATGTGTACACATGGACGTCATATGGTTGTACATAAAACAAAACAAAAAAGTGTGTATGAATTGAGAAAACAAATGTAAAAAAAATAATTGGATTTAATTATCAAAATTAAAATGTTTGAGCGAAAATTAGAAAAAATCATATATCATATGTCCATTCTGATATTTTCTTGTCCTTACATATGTATTCCATGTAAATTTATGTACATTGTGATTTTGTACACCTATTTCGTGTACACTACCACATTTGTTGGACACATGTATGTCACCAACCTTTAATTTACACATGTACATTAATAATTGGATTTAATTATCAAAATTAAAATGTTTGAGCGAAAATTAGAAAAAAATCATATATCATATGTCCATTCTGATATTTTCTTGTCCTTACATATGTATTCCATGTAAATTTATGTACATTGTGATTTTGTACACCTATTTCGTGTACACTACCACATTTGTTGGACACATGTATGTCACCAACCTTTAATTTACACATGTACATTAATAAATGTACACAACTTTTCAACAAATTGCACATGTAACATGTGTCTCAAACATATGTTCAAACATATGTGTACACTTAATTAATAAACATGTACACTTAGAATGTACAAATGTACACATCTCTACGTGTACACAAATTTTTAAAATAATTAATTCATCAATGGCATAATCGTAATTACGTCATCTTCTTCCCAAGTTTCTTAGGGTTACGAATTTTGCAGTAATTGAGGATTTTTAGCTCATTGGCATCTTGGACGGAGGAGCTGAGGATAAAGAGAGGGAGAAGAATTGGAGCTTTCAAACTGTAACTCGTTTTGATCCGTCAACTACAAACACCAAAATAATCAACTTTTCTTTAGCTTTCATCATCTAGGGTTTCACAGTTCTTGAATCTAGAACACAAATTCATCAATGTTCGAGTCTGCGACAACAATTTGTTCTTATTTTTTTGTGTTTTTTCCTTGCATCGCTTAATCGAACGCCGCCGTTGGGTTGTCGATTATTTCATTATCTGGTTAGTGACATATATGTAAAGCTTCTAAAAAAAAATAAAAAGCATCTCATATGAGATTTAAAAAAGAAAATGCCAAAATAAAATGAAAAATAAAAAGAGAGAAAAAGATGTTAGAATCCACGTGCTTTTTAAAAGTTTAGTTAGTCAACTTTATAGTTAGTTAACTTAATTAGTTAGCATACAGATAAAAAGTGAGTTTTGGTTAGAAAAAACTGCTCTAGTAGCAAAAACTGTCCTATAGTGATATAAAAAATTTAAAACTATCTTATGGTGTAATATTTTCTAATAGTTTTTCATTAGGCGCGAGGTCCAATCCAAACTCCCGGATAACGCCTAACATTGATCGGATGCAGCCGTCATAATAGAACTTTGAGCTTAGTGCTTTTATTTAAACTATTTTATTAATTCTTTCAAAGACTGGTTTATAGTTTTATGTGTTATATTTATATTCGGAGAAGAGAAAAAATATAGAGTTAACACTTTGGATTAAAATAATGTATTGGGAATGAGGAAACCTTCCTGCCTTGTAGTATATTCTTTTGGAAGCAATACACAAACACTCAAAACCTTAAACAAAGGTGTGCTAGAGAGAGAGAAATGGAGTGCCTCACAGTCATATCCCTAAACTGATAACTCTTTGAAGATAAATAAACAAAGCCAAAAGAAAACCGAATCTAGAGGCCTTCTTTGAACTTATTGCGACGGTGGATATTCGTATTTAACACCCAAACCAAACTTGTAATCTTTCTTCACATGATCCACCTGATTATTCAACACAAGGGTTCTTAAAGTTATTATATCATACGTACATGAACATGAAACCGCATGCTTGAAGTTATTTTCTTTACCTCTGCGGATAGAAGCAAACCGAGTCCAGGACACAACTCTTCTTCAACATGAGCAGCAACAACACCATTAGAATAGATCTTTCCTCTTACCCGACTCTAAACCGTTTTCCCAACAAGAGAAAAAAACCACACAAGTTATAACATTTTTTTAGTCGTTGGTTGTTTCAAAAGGAACTCCAAGTATATGTACCTGTCTGAACATGAAGTCATACCCAACACTAGCTGCACCTTCTCTTAACATAAAACTGTAAAAGAAATCTGCTGCTAAAGAAGTCTGATTACAAAGCAAAAAAAAAATCATGAGTTTTAGTTTATCCAGAGTAAAGATGAGACTGATGAAACGCAGGCCCGTCTTAAAGTAAACATGGGCCCTGTGCAAATCAATTATCTTAAATCAATGAAAGGGTTTATATTGATCACATATAAAAATGGACCCTTTTCACAATTATATTCTAAATTTAGGGCCCTAAATACACAAAGAAAAATTAAGAAAACAAATGGGGCCCTGTGCATAAGCACTCTCAGCACATGGTCAAAGACGGGCCTGATGAAACGTTTACCTTATCTGTAACCTTATGGACATAGTTCATGATAGCCACACCCGCGGAAGTAACTTGCCCAGAGGCAACCTGTTTGGTAATATAATAGTGAAAGTTAGCTAGGAGTATCAAAAGAAAAGAACATTAACAAGCTGTGACTCGTGAATTGCCCAAATTTTGATTTGAGAAGAAAACATTTACCATTTTGGTATTCTCGTATCTAGCCACATAACCAACAACCGACTTGCGTTGCTCACTAAGCCACAAAACCTCTCCACCTAAAGATAGCTTGGGTGTGACATGCTGCAAGAAAACATAACAATATACTTAGTCACAGAGCTTAATAGAACAGATTAAGATGGCAAAGCGTAATAGCAAGGAAAAGATGTTCACTTCACACCTGAATATAGTTAGCTCTGAACAGGGAACTGGTTCCAGGCTCAGACTGATTCATGTAGTTTCCAAGCTGAAGCTGAGCTCTGTAGTCGGACCCCTACAAAACATAATGTAGACTGTCAAAACCAAGCTAAAAGAAACAAATATGGTTCATACACAAGTAAATAACTACGCACCTTGTGGTCAAAGGTGAGAACGCCTTGCGACTTATGTAGCTCATTTATCAGCTGGAAGAGAGAAAAAGTATGGTTATATAGAGACTAATTCAACACAATACGAAACTTTGTACCTGGGCAGTAGCCTTGATGGTGAAGTTCTCTGTTAAATCGCTCTTGAATTTTGCAATAACGGTACCATCCGTCATGAGCTTTCCGTCGAGCATCAACTGGTTTGGAAGTTGGTAACTGTTATAACTTTTGGTGATGACAATTGACAAAAAGAATAGTAAAGTACCACACAACAAACAAAAGGATATACCTTTGGGTCAATGAACCTTGCACCAAACTCATAACTGGAAGTTGGAATCTTGACAATCTGCTGAGATCGGTCATTAGGAACTTCAGTTTGTCCCATCACTAAGCTGTTTTCAAACATCAATTCATTAGGACACACAAATATGATTTTTTTTTTTTCTAAAAAGAGTACTTTTTATAAACAATGTACCTACCTATGAATAAGAGAAAACTTGTGGTTCATCCTCTTGGTGCAGTCGAGGCGGAAACCCTCAAAGAGTTCTGGATTTAGAGTCTCTGCAAAGTGAAATCAAAACCCACACACACTAACATAATCTTACTTAAGGATGATACATAAAAAGTATAAGAAAACCAGAAGTTAAAAGTGTGTGATTAAACTATTAATCAAGAAACAGGTCAAAAGTGACCTTTGACCTAAAAGTCAAGTTGTGATGAAACCATCAACAAGAAACAGGTCAAAGGTCATAACTTTAAGGTTATATCGAGGTTAGGAGAGCGACATAAGTCTTAAAAGATCAACACCCATTTCGAGTTAGGGTTTAATGGTTCCAAAAACATAGAGTAAAAGAAAGACCCATAATTCAGAAACCAAAGACAGTGACAGAGACTCTTGTGTGGAGTACTCAACTGGTAGCCTCAAGGTGGATATCTTCATAGGGTTTAGGGCAAGGTAGGTTCGAGTAGTCCACTTTCTCTTCAACCTTGGACTTGATTTGAGCCGTCACATTCGGTATTGCAAAGCCCTCCATAGCTTCTGCTGAAGAAAAACTCGTCTCAGAAAAGAGAGGAAATATGTAGGGATTAAAGCGAAGCGAGGAAGATGGAGGAGGAAACTCGATTCTACCTCTTAAGGGTTTTTTTGTTTGTGACATGTGCGTGTGCGCCAAGGGTTCTGTAATCTTTCCTTATTTGGACTGACCCGGTTTCATTTTTACTTTCCTGAAACGGGTATGTCGAGTCGTACCCAAATCATTTACGGACTCATTTACTTAAGACGTAAACATATGAGAAAGCGTGGTTTATGGACACCCGCACATTTCATAAAGACAAAATTGAGATTTTTTTAATCCACCATCGCAAGATAATGAATTTGTTCCTCCATGACAACAGATCAAAGGTTTGGAATGTTCTATATCGTCAAGAAAACTTCACATGCATGCAATTAGCAACGTTATAATACTCAGAATCAAACAAATCCATTTAAAATAAAATAAGCAACACAGATTAGTTTGTCCATTTTTTAGATCTCTATGATCGCTCAAGGACCATCGTTAAGCATTTTCAGGCCATCGTTAAGCCTTTTTTATAAGCTCCTTTTAAAGTCTTTAACTCTTTATTAGCAAACGCATAAAAATGTGTATAGAAGGAATCTGAGCTTAAAGAAAAGAGCGCATACACCAATCTAAACTCTTTAGATGCTTTCTTGTGAGCATTCAAGCAGAAGCAGGAATCATGTCCAAAACTTTCATCATGAACGCAAAGGTAAACGCATCTTCCTGAAGCTTCTCGAATCTGCACGTTAGCATCAAACATTTGGTCAATCACATAACAAAAACTAGCCTTCCTTACTTTGAACACAACTCGAGTCACAGTACAAATGAAGAAAGAATAAGACAAATAAATGGACAACATTCGTACCTCCCAGATTTTGAGAAATGTCCAGCGCCAAGCTCACATTTGAACAAAAGCAAGTTGTTGTCAGTCTTCATTTCTCTCAGTTTCGCCACAAACTTGGCAGGTTCAGAGTACATGACCCTTGGATCTGTTGGTCATAACAATTAATAAGTCAGATGTTTCAACAAGAGAATCAGGGCAACTATCGATCACAAAGATCAGGAAATAACGTACTGCCAAAATCAGAAGCAATTTTGATTCCAAGTTGTATTTAGACAAATGAAGGCTTACCATTTAACCCAGCAGTTACAAGAACATTTGGATAATTCTGCGCCGTAACCTGTTACATTTAAATAAATGCATCATTGCAGAGACCTTCCATGTGAATGTATTGCAGATGATTCCAAAAAGAGGCGATATACTCACATTGTCAACAGGGGAATATGACTTCATGTAGAAGTAAAATTCTTCCTTTCTGGGGTCACCCCACTCCTACAAATAATAGAAACCAACAATAACACATCTTAGGAAGAGCTTCTTAAGATGAATAACAAAAGATATAACATTCTTAAACAAAATCAAATGATAGCTTTATGATTCCTAAGGGAATTTATCTATCCTTAACACATGCCGATGTACTTTGTAACGTAAGAAAGAATGTTATTATTCTATGTTGTAAGTCACTGAAAAAGCATCAAACCCACCTCCCATTCTGATGTCGTAAGCGGAATAGTTGGGTCCAGCATTGTTGTCAAAACGTCTACAAAAGGAACTCCAGCGATAACCACCTTGAACAAGTCAGGCCTCATGTTAAGAACAGCACCCATCAGCAGTCCACCAGCACTTCTTCCTTCGACACACAGTTTTTCCTTTGAGCAATACTTGAGTTCTATTAAAGACTCAGCGCAAGCTATAAAATCAGTGAACGTGTTTTTCTTTTTCAACAGCTTCCCGTTCTCGTACCACTGTCTCCCCATTTCACCACCCCCACGAACGTGGGCAATTACATAGATAAAACCACGATCTAACAAGGATAACCTTGATGCCTTGAAATACGGATCTACAGAGATCTGTAAAGATAAGAGTCATTTATAGCTTAGCACAAAAGAGTAAGTGAGAGGACAATAAAAGCTTCAGCTAAAGATACCTCATATGAACCATATCCATACAGCAGACACGGATCAGACCCATCGAGCTTTGCAAGGTTTTTGTTATAAACAATAGACATTGGAATTTGAGTTCCGTCAGCTGCAGTGACCCATTTCCTTTCTGTAACATAGTTCGACGCATCAAAACCTCCCAATACCTGTAAAAATACACACGTATTATCATAAAGACCAAGCCATGGCCATGTCTACAGATAAGTAGTTTACTTACTGTGTCAATCTTCTTGATAACAGAAGTGCCACTATCCATGTCATAGTCATACACGGAAGGAGGTGTCTTCATCGAGCTGTAGCGGAACCTTAAAACACTGGACGAAAATTCAGACTCTGTTGAGTCAATTGAATAGACCGGATCAACAAAGCTAACGCTACGACCAGCTTGGAGTATGTTCAGAGGCTGTCCCTCAGCGGGAAGCCTATGCACTGTTATCTTCTGCAATCCCTGTTCACGCTCGAATACTGCAAGATGATCTCGAAAGAGCTGAATTTCCTGAATCTTTACACTGTCCGTATCAAAAAGTACAGTATAAGCCAAAGTATATAAATGAGACGAAAAACTAGTTGTGACTTCCTGTGGATATGAACACTGACAATGTCAAACAGAATCAAACAAAAATGTTTTACCTTTCTCTATGTGGAATCAGAACTGTTGTCTTAGACGTGTCATCAACTGAACAGGCCACCAGTTCTGAGTTGTAAAACTCAGTGCTCCTTCTCTGGATGAAAAAGTGGTTTCCTCGATGACTGACGGATGAATCAATGCCATCTTCACGAGGTGTCAGCACCTTGAGTCCATCCTGAGGCTTGGAAACATCAAGCGAGAAGACAAATCTTGTAGTTTTGCTTTCGGATGCAACAAATATATACTTATGGCTCTCAGAGGCGTGAAGATCAAGAGAAAACATATCATCCTTCTCGTGGTAAAGGCATACATCATTGGATTGTTCTGTCCCCAACTTATGCAACCAAACCTGTTACAAAGAATGTTGGAAAATGATTGCCGAACTTAGTAAATAATAAAACCATTGCATCTATGAAGCATATAATGTCATAAGTCTCAAAGAAACAGTATGATAGAAATACTTGAAACAGGAAAATCTAAACAAAAAACGTTCAGAAGTTAACCTTATCAGGTCGCAGGATTTCGTCCATAGTAATGTAGACCAAAGCATCATTACCAGCCCATTCAAGATAACAAGTCAGTCCTTTTAGCGGCTGTCCTAATGGTTTCAGAGTCTCAGAGTCGATGACATTGACTGTATATATCTCATCACCTTTTGTGTCCTCTGCATACGCCACCAATTTATGATCGGGACTGGCCTGAAGACAGCATTAAGAGAGTAAAAACATCAAAAAAGCAGTTTTGCGAAATCAAAATCAATTTCTAGCAAAAGTTTCCCAAAGTCTGACCTTGAAGGCACCAATACTGTAGTAGTCATACTCTTGGGCCTTGATATTCTCATCCAATATTATCTGCTCAGGAGGAGCATCAGGACCAGTTGGCATGGTATCATAGACAGAAGGCTCAGCTTTGTTGTCGGCGATCAAACGCCTACAGTGTTGAACATATTCCTTGCCTTGAAGATTCTTCTTGTAATAGTAGTAAGGACCCTTTCGTAGAGGTGCAGATATATCATCTTCTTTGATCCTCCCTCTTATTTCAGCAAACAGCTGATTCTCAAATTGCTTAGTCCCTGGACAAAATCAAGTTTCCATCTAATTATCGTTTGCTCAGTCAATGTATTAGGCATTGAGCATTTGTAAATGGACCTAATATCCGAACCAAACTAGAACAAAAAAAAAAAAACTAAAACCATACTGCTTATGATATTATTTTGATAAAACAAAAAATCTTATATATTAAAACAAAAAACAAATTAGACAAATTCATGGATTTGCACTAGCATTATTGCTTGATTAAATAGACCTAGACTAAATTAACGGTTTTTAGAACAGTTTAAAACCGCTTTAAATCACATAATACAGTTTTTAAAAAATCGTATAACCGATTTCCCTAGGCCCCTGACTTTTAAAACAATGATCTAAAGTATTATTATTAACCGAGCGGAACCAAAATGGATTTTAAAATCTACCCAGATCCGAACTATTACTAACCTAACCGAACCGAACTATTTATTAAACCGAATAGAAAAACCCTAAATCCCTAAAAACATAACTCACCAGACATGACGGAACCAGTGTAGTCGTTTTCTTCACGGAGGTAAGAAAGCATGTCTGGATTGCAACGAGAATCGTCACGGAGCCAGTAGTAATTGTCAACCCTAACGTCACCGAACATCTGCATCACATGCTCCACTTTCTTCGCCGCGGGAGGTGATCTCGTTTCCGCCATGTCTCCCGATGAAGAGGAGTAAGAGGAACAGAACAACCGTGGATTAGATCGGCGGCGAGGAAGAGGAAGAAGAGGAGGGAGGCAAGAGAGAGGACGAAGATTAGGTGCGAGAAAGTGGGAGCCAAGGGCAACTACGAGTCCTCGTCTTACTATCATTTCATTTACAGGTTTGGTGGTGTTTATCTAGTGAGCGCAATCCTCGAGGAGTTTGTTATTAGATGGCCGGTTATTTCCGGTTAGATTATACCGAAACCGGTTTACATTAAATCTCACAATCGAATTTATTGCTTAATTGTTGTTTTGAGCAAAACCAATACGATTTGGCTTCATTATTGAGCTTAGGCAGGGCATCATTACTCGATACTCGCCTTATATCTGTTACTCGCCTTATATCCGTTACTTGATATGTACTCCCCTTGAAAATTCAAGTACTCGGTGTTGCCAAATCGCGTAACAAATCAACAAATTTTATTACTCGCAAAGACAAGACAAGTATCAAGTATCATTTTATTTTTCAATACTTACCTCGTTATTTGGTATTCATTACTCGTTTTATAAATATTCGTTACTCGTTCTACAAAATATTCGTTACTTGAAAATTAATACTTATCTTGATTTGATATTAGTTTCATACCAATATTAGTTTATTTAATAAACATGACAACTCATTACTAAATAAGATATTAAACTTGTTACTTGGTTCTTTATTATATGCATAAATTTTTTTTAAAGTAATTGTATGTTATTTTTAGTAAAATAAATAAGTAAACATTCATGTCTTTTTTTGTTATATGATTATTTAGTAATTAATTTTTAAATACTCAGAAATAGATGTAAATAATTCACAAGTATTCATAAGTAGTAAATAATAAAACGAGGCAAGTAACTTGCAAGTAACTGATTTTTGATCAAGTACTCGTCTTTAACAAGTCAAATACAAGTCGGAAATTTTATTACTCGTGCAAGGCAAGTCAAGTATTAAATACACGTAAAATAGCAAGTATTTGCCTTGCGGCCAGCCCTAATTTGAGCTTGAGTGTTGGCTTCTTGAAATTTACCAGCCACAAATAACCCAAACCGAACCGGACTAAACCGAACAAACATGATAAGATTTGGTCTTTACATACAAAAACAAAGATGAACCAAAAGGTACATAAGTGTATCAAAACCACTAGAACTGACAAAAGTGCTATTCACTTTCACAAGAAGATGAAAAAAACGAAATTAAGGACTAGTAATCTAGGATTAATAGGAGAGACTACTAATAATGTAGGATTCCATCACAGAAAATAAGGAACACCCGTTCTCGGCCCTCTCATTTGATTGTTCTCTTCTGTCTCGTTGAGGTACTTCACTTCCCTTTATTGGTAACCAATTGATAATCATCAGTGAGGACGTGATCAGATCCTAAACATTTTCCAGAAACAAGTCTATAGAAGAACACATAGCACAATCCAGACAGATTCTACAGCACACATAGTTTATTTCACATATTAAAGATATTGCAGTTATTATATAAATGGCAAAAACATAGTTTTTGCCCTGTCTAACACTTGTCTAAATTCCCATAAACAAGAAGTTCGTTTATGTTTTGTTTGGGTAGAGAGACAGAGATCAAAAGGAGCAATTCAATAGATTTTTAAAACAATAAGTAAATAGATACCTCGTTCGTTAAGAATACACGTGCGTTTAAGTAAGAAAAAAGAGGAAACAGATGAGGACTCACTATGTTGTCATCGAAACTCAATATAGAAGCTACATTCCCGCACCGGTAGCAGTAATTAGGTGCAGACCACACCTTTACATACACAAAATAAAGAGAAGAAACATCACCAAGCAGATTATTATACTTCAAAATAGCCAGAATGAATCATAAGAAGCAACATACTTACAGTTACAAGGCCTTTATCTTGAAACATGTACTTGAGACCTTCTTGTACAAGCTGATGTGCGCGACATACTAGACCAAGGTTATTTATATGGTTAAACTGCAGAAGATGCAAAACCAAAGATAAAGAAGTTAACTACATTTACTTCTTACACGGATTAGCAAATTTCAACAACAGAAAAATAACCCATACCTCAGTGGTGACCCTTGATCCGAAAAGCCAACCTGCTCCACGTGGACTGACAGCCCATGTTTCAATATCTTCAGGATCGCTCCACATTAGATCACAGAATGGTCCTTGATGCGGGATTTCGCAGTTTCGATCAATCAATCTTATCTAGAGGACAGAAGAAATACTGAAGTGAGTGACTGAGATTTAATTTTCACGGTGAAAACAGGAAAAAGATTATACAAAAAGGAACTTTAAAAAAGATTTAACCTGGTTAATTGTCCGTACATCAGGTGAAAGGCCACCATGAACACATAAAACCTACATGGACGAAGCAATACCTTTTAATATAGTATACAGCTTATACATTCATATAATGAAATACATCATAACACAATGCCAAAGATACTAAGGAAAATACTTACAGTGCCATCTATAATAGCTGAAATTGTAAGATAGTCAAAAACATCCGTGCAATATCTCCAAGCATTAGCATTACCATACTTCCTTTGGCATTCGTCATAAAAACCATACACCTAGCAAATATAATTTAAGAAAACAACTTATTAAAAAGGGAACACAAATTTAATAATCAACTTCCCAACACTTGCCACCATGTAAGAATATTTTGATCATACTGTAAGCAGATACCGGTATACACAATTAATTTGCAACAGGAGATACAAGATTAACCAGAAGTGTGTTCACTATACAACAAAATATCATTATAATTTTCTTCCTTGACAGTGGATGTTGAAAGTTACGAGAGATGGTGTAGGAATAGAGATACATCAAGAAGAAAACTCATGGATGCAAACGATCATGTTAATTAGTAAAGTATGAACACTCTGCAGAATTAGCTTCCAGTACTTGACTCACACAAAGGATTGGTAGTTAACATAAATGTCTATGTCTCGCATGGCATTGCCACATGTATACTCTAACTTTCAAAATCCGGTCACACAAATTGAGGAAGAAAAACAAAATTAGTTATCTACTGGGAACTGCGTGAAGAGCATTGCAATAAACAGAAGTCAGCCAAGTCGAGTGATGCATACCTGAGTTAGTTGTCTACTTCCATGATTACCACGCAAAAGTGTGATATGGGCCGGATATCTACACACTGAGTTACAAGAGAAAAGATAGGTTTAAAGCTTAAAGGAACAATGCGTGTTTACAGCTTACAGAGAATTCTCAAGAGAAGTGTAACACACAGAGAAACAGAAAGCATGAACTTGTTACAAATTCTTACAAAAACATACCTAGCTTTAAGAAGCAAAAGAATAGTGAAAACTTCAAGACTGGTATAACCTCTATCAACGAAATCTCCCTGAGAAAGCGAATGAAATCTATAAAGATGTTGATTGATGTGTCAAAAGAGAAGAAGTTTATTACCATAAAAATGTAATTAATGTCGGGGACGTGGCCACCAGTCTGGAAAAGCTTCATGAGATCATGAAACTGGCCATGGATATCATATCACCACAGACGGTGAAAGGACTGTTGACAGGTTGTACATTTGATTCCTCAATCAGAATCTCTTTCACCTGTTAAAACAGAACTAAACATTTTACCAATACATATTAGCAAATCATTGTCAAGAAGGATGTAACATTTACCAAGCGCGTGCACATGTCTGCATCCGTTAGTGAATTAAGTATTAGCTACATAAAGAACGAACTAAACGTTATCACTCCTAGAACTTATATAACTCAATCGCAAGTTTATTAAACTCCCTAAAACCAATCCATAATAAACCAAAGTAATGTAGAGAGACGAGATTCGAAGTAAATAGAGAAGGGAGTACGTATTCGCAAAGAAGCTGAAGCTGGTGTTCGGAGAGGTGTTGGGATTCTTTAACCTTTGAAATCCATGAAGATGTATGGTGCAGACAAGGCTGAAGTAGTTCAAGGACGGAGCTGAAGTAGTTCATGAAACACGACATGAACAACTGAATGAAACACAGAGTTGAGAGCTGAGCAGGAAAAGGATGGAGCTTTTAGTAAAGATGTGAAGATATTTATCAAGGCGTGGGCGTTAAGAAAAAGGAGTGAAGAATAAGCAACCGACGAAGAAAAGAAGAAGGTTGTCTTATTCGCTGAAACAGAAAATGGAAAGTTTCCATTGGGTAGTTTTAGGGTTTTTTTCTCTCTAGGTATAAAGAGAGAGTCGACTGGGTTGTAGTCGGCCAACACACTAGGTGATATTCTAGCAAGTTAGAGTTTTGTGAAACCGAGCAAGGTAGGCAAAATACTTTAAGAATTAGAAGCAATTCATCGACTAGGGTAAGTCGTGAATTGATTGGGCTAGTCAACAAGTCAAGTTGTTCTTGAGCTTTGTTGAGAATTGCTTTTCAAAAGAACTTGTATGTGCTTTTAAAAAGGATTTATCTAGTCGTATTTTTCTTGGAAAAAATAACTCTCGGATTACAGTGTGTTCTAGTTTATGTACTACCAATCTTGCGCTTTCAATCCATTCATTCAAATCCATGCCGTCTTTTTACTCTTTATATAATAATATAGGTAAAGTAGAAATTGGTCGGGTTTCGTAGATTTCAATGTAGACTTGAAGAGACGAGGGTTTAGGATCTACGTCTAGCTGAGCGTTGTTCCCTCCGCTTCGTTAGGGTTATTACGTAAGTGAGAGAGAGAGAGAGACAGAAGGAACCAAAACACAATCTGTACCCGAGAACGCACCCATTTTGGTCTTCAAACTGTTCTTCGTATTTAACCACTTTTTGGCAACTCGTTAAACTGAACATCATTTTCGGCAACGTATTTAGATCAATTTATTTTAATTTCACCTCTTATTAAAAAGATTATAACTACCAAATGGGTTAGTTTTAAACAAGTTAATAGATTTTATTGATCTGAGTACTGATTTTTGTAAGAGAAAATTACTAAGATAACTTATTTTCAGTTAATTATTGGACTAACCTCAGTTATTTAGTTAATTTATACATGCTCCTTAGTGTAGTTAAAGACACAAAAACCACTGATGTTACTAATTATTACGAAACTGCCATTCTACTTTTGTTTGATTTCACCAACAATTTAAAAAAAAAAAACAGAGAAACAAAACAAAAGTTCACTGATTAAAACATAACCTTTCTCCAAAAAAAAAACTTAAGGTTCATGGGATTCATTGCGCGATTCAAGTTATTTAGCCTGCGTGTAGAAACATGTTCCCCCGACAACATATTTGAGTCTCCACGAGAATCCTGATGAGTCGCCAGAGCTTTGTCACCCCTACGTCAATAACCCATGCACATGTCTCATCTCTTTAACTAAGAGAAGGAGATGATAACGATCAACCTATTTGCTTAATTTATTTGTTTCTGATTTTAGGAACTGGGTTGAGGAGAATGTAAATTTCATGGAAGAGGACGCTGTCAAATCCCTTATTCATGTTCTGGATTTGGTATGTTTCATTGTCTCTCTTATCTGGAATTTTGTTCAGTGTGTTGCCTATCTGCAATCTGTTGTGTTGATACATAGAGATGTTTTCTGATAGAAGGAGAGTTTGAAGCTACCAGCTTACTAGCATGGACGAATCAAAATGATATACACTTCGTATGACAGTATATTATAAAGAGAAAATGACTAGAATAGACCTAAAAAAGTTTGTATCATAAATATAAAACTTAGCAATTAAAATGACCGAAATAACACTTAAATGTTTTATTAAATATACATTTATACCTTTGGGTTAACTAATCTTAAGATTTTTTTGTTTAGAGTTAAGGAGTGGAGTTTTGGGATAGGATTTCGAAATAAAAAAAAATAAAAAAAAAACTTAAAATTTTCAAAATAAAAAATGCTATTTTGGTCATTTAATTTTTGAGGTCTATTTTTGTGATAAAAACTTAAAAGAAGGCTATTTGAAAGAATAGCCCCCTATTATAAATCAATTTCTCATAGATTCAGTTTGAGGTATTCAGTTTGTGTAACAAGCATACTTACCAATTAGCATGTTGGTATTTTCTGTCAACCGTTAGTTTAATTTGATTAAGATATCTGTGCTGACTTTTGTAAGTAGAACTAGATTTTGAACCGCGCTTGAAAAGCGCGGAAATTTTTTATGATTAAAAATTTATATAATTGGGTTTTGTCTTAATTTAAAGAATGTTTTGCTATAAAATTAGCTTACCAAAATTTGTGGTGATAGTTGTTTTTCATTAGTTTTTAGTTTCAGTTATTATTTTTAGATTTTGTTTTAAATTTTGGTTTTTGGTTTTTAGTTTTTAAGTTTCTATTTTTGATTTCCAGCTTTTGGTTTGGGTTTTTAATTTTTAGACCCGCTGAGTTAGTTTGAACTGATATTACCAACAAACAAATCTCAATTAATCGAACATGTAATTTAAAACTGAAAAGATGACAAAATAATTTTCTAAAAATTTTGAAATAGTTTATTTTCTAAATAAAAAAAATAAAAAAATATAACATGCGTTTTCAGCTTTTGGTTTTGGATTTTAGTTTTTAGATTAGGGTTTTGGTTTTACTTTACATTTTTTTTAAATCTGTAAATTATTTAAGAAAAATAAAACAATAACTTATTTAAAAGTTACCATTCAAAATTTATCAAGATAGAGTGATTGTTATTTAAAATAAAAAAAATTAACATGTTTTAAAGTACATAATTTAAATAAGTGATTAATAATAGATAAATTTGTTTTGTTGAAAATATTAAATATTTTTGGGCTAAAAAATATTAACATGTTTTAAAGTACATGATTTAAATAAGTGATTAATAATAGATAATTTTGTTTTCTTGAAAATATTAAATATTTTTGGGCCTGAAAATAGTAATTGATTTTTGATCCATTAAGGTGGAAAGTTTATTTAATGTTTTGGAGTTTTTCTTTAATACTAAGCCCAAAAACCAAACAATTAAATGTCATAAAAACAAAAGTAAGCCCAAAACTCTATTCCATAAATAACTGCCGGTTTAATTTAAGTAATGCTGTTCAATCAACTATATAACTTGTATTATTTGTAATACTCTAGAAATGGTCCAAATTTAAATGACAACTTGTATTAGTAGATAAAAAAATGACTCTATTTTAATAGATTAGATATATGAGCTTCTTTCTACTATAAATGCAGCCAAGTATGGCACACGCCGTCAGGGCCGGCCCTGGGTTAAAGCCTATAAAGCAAGTGCTTTACGCGCTAAGATTTATAGATTATTTAGGGGCATCATGTATGGTGAGTTTTGTTTAATGTAGCGGTTATGTATGTCTTCTCTTTTCCTTCAGACCCGGGTTCGAGTTCTCTATAAGCAAACAGATTTACTGTAGATTGGGATTTCCTATCTAACAGATTGAATTTCCTTACGTATGTGAATATATTATAATAAATTGTAAAATACCTAAATACAAAAATTAAGAAAAACTAATTATTTTCCTAAATCTAAACCTAACAATTGATGTTTCCTCTCTAGTTCTCTGACGATCATTGCTGCAAAAGAATTATCTTCCATTGTTCATCATCTGTTGGAGTAAGTAGCTTAACAATCTTCATGTTCTTTTTTACCTATCCTATTTCTTTTTCTTTTTTTTTTTTAACGTGAGTTTTTAATTTATTATCAAATTCTTTAGAATTTTCTGAAATCCAAACAAACAGAAAACTTTAACTATGAAACTCTATGAAAGTTTTAAAGAGGTTTTGCAGACTAAAATTGACGTTAAGAAGATTAGATCAAAATATCATGCTTGATGTTCACTTTTTTATCGTATGTATGTATTGTTGCTATATTTTCTAACTTATATTTTAATTTTTAAATTCTAGAAAAATGTTACCAGGAAACAGAATTAGGAATCAACCAAGTGTATGTGACAATAGAAAAAGAAAAAGTAGACAAGACGAAGTGGTGAAATCTCAAGCTAATGATATGCTCAAATATGTCACAAGAACTAAAAATTCTAAAACTGATGAATCAGTTAGACCTGAGATGGAGAAAGAAGATGGAAAGGGAGATCATGATGTTGAAGAAGATGCAAATAAAATGATTGAAGAAGAAATTGTTGGTGATGACGCAGGTTGTATGAATATAGACAAAGAAAAAATCTATGAATAAAAACTTGGAAGACCAGGAGAAATTGATGATGCTAGGAGTTCTCATGAGAGTTTTGATATGGATGATCTTGGAAACTGGGAGAATATTGAACCAAGAATAAAAGATTATTTAGTTGAAAAAGGTCCACCTACAAGACCTCCAGCTGATTATCCTTTTCCAAGAGATGGTGCTAATAGATCCTTCAGTCATTCATGTTATACAAGAAGAATGAGCAATGGAGAGAAACAAGATAGAAGGTGGTTAGTTTACTCAAAATCAAAAGATAAGATCTTTTGTTTTTGCTGTAAATTATTCACTCAAGATACTCTTCCTCCTATTTTGGTAACTACTGGGTATGACGACTGGAGAAATGCTTCACATAGGCTGAAAAGTCATGAAACTACTTACAATCATATTGTATGTATGAGTTGCTGGATTGAGCTAGAAATGAGGCTGAAAAAGAGCGAAACTATTGATAAGAATTTGCAGGAGGCAATTAATAAGGAGAAAAAACATTGGAGAGATGTGATGTTGAGGATAATTGCAGTGGTAAAAACACTAGCGGAAAGAAATTTAG